TCTCTACCAATACTCTGTATTGCAGTCAGACATGCTGGTTATTGTTTCAAATTATATATTTATTCTCAATGTTTTAAAAACATACATCAGTGTTGCAATTAAAATGAGTGTACATTAGCAAAATAACCTAGCAACTTCTTTTTCAGTCTTCTCAAATGTTTTTCTGAAGTTCTTTAATACTTGTCACTTTTGTGGAGGGTACAGAGATACTAAATATTCTAGTAAAAAATCTGAATATGAACACATATGGCAAATGAATTACTTTGCACTTTAATGAAAAGGTGTCCTGTTACATTTAAGAATAATTTTGTTTTCAGTAAAATTGAATTTTGAAATGTTGATAATCATGATGCAATTTGTATTTCATTTATTACATTGTTTCAGATGTGAAGTATGTTTGGTCCAAAAAGCTCTCTTGTATGAAGATTAAAAAACATAAAAATAAAACATACAAACAGTTGACTTAACACGGAACTCAGCTTTTGGCAGCCAGAGTGGTTCATGTGACAGTCCTGTGACTCATTCTTCTCCAATCACAGAAGAACAGAATAAGCCACCTTCGTTTCTCTTTGATTTCATTGCATACTAATTGGGTATCCTGTTATATGTGTTCTGTATGACTTTGATAATTATCAAAGCAGTCTCTACTATATAAAAAAGACTATGACTTTGTAAAATCACTATATGTTTACTAAGATAAATACATCTATGAATAAATTCCTAAAAGCTTGAAATCTCTTCCCAAGATAAACTGGTAGTAACCTGTGCAGATATTTGATCAACAGTAAATACAGTGTTTCATTTTTTATTGTTTTGGGGGGGTTTTCCACAATCAAATTGGAACATTGTTTACGGATATAATAGGTTATAGGTGTTCCCAGTAAAGAGAAAAATATGAAAACATTCAAAGTAATTCTGGACCGAATTAGCATGAAAATAAGCATTTTTCATGTATAGGGACTTATTCAGAGGTACACGTCTTTCAAGGTAAAAAGTAATGACGTGCACACAATGCTACAAAATGGGATGAAGTGTTTGGGCGTCTTCAATTATTGTTTAAAACTTTCAACTGCAAGTGGTTCAAATCAGGTATTCTAATATTCAATTTGAGGTACTCTTTTTTTTAACCGTTCATTCCGTGCTTTTTTCTCTCTCGTTTTCCTATTAGAATAGAACATTTTTTTTCCAGTAACAAAAAGTATCCTGTTCCCCTTTTTAGTAAGCAGTTAATCTCAATGTAGGATAAAGTTACTTGGCTGAAGAATCATAACACATCGGTTTAAACCCTGTTGGCTTTTTGGTCTTATTAAACATAGAAATTGCCTATCACACTGGCTCTAATAGCATTATCTTGATGTGCTGAATCATATGATTGCAAGCTGCGCAAAACAATCTTTCATTCATGCTGGCAGATTGGCCTGTGCTTTGTGGAGTTCAGGAACAACAGCTCTGATTCCATAATCTGTGGCTTTCTGAGCACACTCCCGGTAAGTAGGGCTGAAAGTCATTACATTGACTCAGGGTGCTTTAGCACACTGCTCTTTTCTTCTGTCCTGCAAAGTCTATCTTGCTGCCTTGTGATTTTTCACAATAAAACAACTGGAAAGGGAAAGCGCACAGACAAATTAAGTGCGGCTTTTACCAGGGGAAATACCATAGGAATGCTTCAACACCATGAAAACATCAAGTCGTGATTTACATGTATCCTTAATTACTTTGAAAGTCATAATGAAATTGTGGTCTCTCACATTACAGAGTTAGTGTACCTATGCAGGTACAGCTCGGTTTTGACATCAGTACTCTGTGGGATTTGGGCCCACTTCTGGAAGCAAGGGTTTAAATGTTTAAATGTGTCCCAGGTCCCGTACAAAAACGATCCTTGCGCATTAGTGTGGATCAATGAAGCTATCACACAGACGTCCACATCACACACTTTGGGGGGAAGCATAAAGATTTTGCTTATCCCTCAAAACCAGGTAATTTCTAGACAAAGAATGGAAACCTTTTAGGATGCTTGCTCTGACCGATCTTTAGCAAAGATTCAGATTCTCATACAGTTAGCAAATGCGCTCAATTCGCAGGTGATGGAGATAGAGGAAGCATTCAATAGAAATTGCAGGGGCAATGGACTGGCAGAATGACTTGGAAGAAATGCAGAGTTGGCAGGTGCAAAGTGATGCATTCATGAAGTGGAAACGGTATGGATTGGTGATTCTGAGCTGTAGGAAGCTACACGTGAAAGGGATTTGGGTTTATGGGGATTTTAAGGCCTGAACAGGACAACAAAAGGAAATTTTAAAAAAAGAGAATGCTTGTTTATATAGCACAAAGTGCAGACTGTAAGTGAAGAAAAGCTTACTAAACTTTAGTAATACCTAATGTATTATAGTGCTCAGTTTCATACCACAAAAAGGTTTATTATTACAACCTTAGAAGAGCAACTAGAATGATTCCTGGTCTTGGGTGATAATCATGTAAATCTCTCCAGGCCAAAGGCGTGTCAAAGGAGATTGAGAGATTTGATCCAATCATATAAAACTGCAAGGTTGTAACAGTAAGAAAATTGGAAATGAAAAAGGACAGAACATAGCACTCAAAAAAGGGTTGCAGATGTCTGGAACAGGCTATTATGCCAGTCAGTTGAGGTCCAGATGCCAGGCTTCTTCAAGAAGCAATAATATATGCCATTGAAAGGTCAGTGCATGTACATTCTTAGAAATCTTTTAGAAACCTGAAAAAATTGTATTGGATGAAGGTTAGTAGGATTATTTCTCAATTCTGTGTTTGCAAATAAAAAGAAACAGGCTGGTAACAGAAGTAGTAGGTAAAATTGTTATCAATTGTTTGTCCTAAATTAAAATCTAGCATCCGTAAGTTAACAATACTTAACAATATTGTGTGG